TGAGGAAAAAAAATTAACTTAAATGATTTTAGCAAATGGCTGCAATATAACAAAGAGTGAAAAATTGAAGGGGGTCTGAATACTTTCCGTACCCACTGTATATATATATATGATTTTCATAAGAATTACTGTTTTTAATAGTGTTTTAAAGTTGTTTCACTTCTCCAAAGTAGAAACTGGCTTCTGCTTTAGGGGGGGTTTTCATTTCTGATCCGTGAAGAGGAAACAGTGTTTTAGTCAAGCTAATGAGGGGATTGATCAAGGAGAACAGTGTGTGTTAAAGGTATATTTATTTGTCCATTTCAGAGGGACTGAAGGCAGCCTTCTCACAAGGAGCGTTTCGTTTGACTGTAGAAGACTGAGAGATAATTTAAGTGTGCGTGCGCGTGTGAGAGTGACGGTCCATGTGTTAATATCAGTGCCTGCAGGCTCCCAGTGACCCCTGCTGCTGGTGGGTAAATCTAAAAAAGGGCATTTTGATCAAGTGTAAAAGCTAACTCAAAAAAACTGTCTAAAGCAGTGGCCTCCGCTCTTCTGATACTTTAACCGGTCGGATGTTTCACTTTGAATTTGGGTCCAGTGACATCAAACGCATCCTGTAAGCGTGCTCCGTGTTTCTGTATGGAGCCTATTGATTTTCTGTAATGCATAAAATAACAGGATTGGATTTGTTTCATGTGAAGGTGCCAAGTATGCTTGTATTCCCCTGTGAGTGTGTACAGTACTTCCTGTTGGAGATCGGAAGCACACATGCTGAGGTACGAGCCAAAGCAGAACATGCAGCTTGATCACAAAGAAGCGTCTACGAGGTCCACTTTAATATTGTGAGTTTTTTGGCACTACAGTTACAAAAACTGCACAGGCATATCTGAAGTATTTGTTTGTTTGTCTTTTTTTAGTGTTAACCTACTGTAAAAGCCTTATTCTCTCTTTCCATTTTGAGTTTTTGGAAGGTACGCATACAGTGAATGTATTGATGTATTTTTTCTTTTATTATTGTAGAACAAATCTACTACCCTTGGGGCTCCTAATAAATAGCCACATATGACATGATCTATACTTTTAACAAATATCAGTTATATTTGAAATCCAAATTTTCTGTGTTGTGGACTTCCAGGGATATTTATATTGCAAAGGAGCGTCCACTATTATCAAAAGCACACTATACAATCAATACTTGTTAACGATGTGGCAGTTAGATGCTGAATTCAATTTTTTTTCCTCTTTTGTTGATTATCAAGCTGTGAAGATTGATGGACGCAATGGGGAGTTTATTTTAGCTGTAAACATTTACAATTTTTGGTAATCATCAGCAGTGCCGTTTTAGTCTTACACTCATCTATAGAGGTATTTTTTGTGTTGTTTTTCTCATACTTTACCTTATTTTGATTTTCTCCCTCTTTCCCCCAACATAAAAATCTAAAACAAGTGACCAAAATTAATCTAAAAATCTGTTACTAAAATCTTACTATAGTATAGCCCCTTTTATGAGGTGTTCAATAAAGATGTCTGTAAACATTTCTAACCCTAATGCCACATAGTATATGAGACTCAGAACTGAGTCATATTAATTTAAGATAATAAAGACACCCCCCACAGTATTCCAGTAGTGAAGTAGCTGGGATCTTTTTTAAAACCTATGAGCCTAAATGGGGATGTTATTCTTTAATGCATTTTAAGTACTTATCTTTATTTATTATTTTTCAGTTTGTTTAATAAATGATTGTCCAAAAAAAAAAAAGTCATGACTTACCGTATTACTCAAAAAATAAATAAAAAAATTAGAATGAGCGTTATTTTTGTTTTGTCAGGGTTTTCCCACTCTCATTGTTGACATGATAGAGTTACAGAGTTTTGGGGTTTAATTTTTAAAATACACAATATTACTCTTCTAAGGCTAGAGTTATCATGAATAAAATGAATTTGCACCATGGTTCTCATCCATGTGACGCTGGAGTAATGTTGTCGTGAGTGCTATTGTCGATACGGGCCTCATCTTCTAGTTGCTGCTCTTGGATCAATGATACAAATTCCAAAACAAACAGCCGAAGAGGCTCTTTTCTTTTCCTACGAAGACTCCATTCACACAAAGCATTTTATCCGAGGCCCACAAAACAGCCCTTTTGAGGGTCGTCGTTCCCAGTGCTCGAACGAGCGAATCTTCTCGAAAGGTATCTTTTTAATGACCGATCCGCTGTCTGTGTTAAATAATGAATTTCATTATTGTGTTAGCTCAGTTGAGAGCAGCAAAATAAATAATGAGAACTTGTAATAATGGGTGACCTAACCTTGTTCTTTTTGTCTGGAAATGAATAGAGTGAAAGCAAGGATGCTTGAGGAAGCTAACGAATCTGGGTGCTTTGGTTTTGTACAGAGAGCTGCTTTCAAAGACTACTTGATTTTCCATAATGCAAATACACTATATAACAGTACGTTCACATGCCTGCATGAACATGTTAGCTGCAAAACAAGACATAATATTTGTGTGATTTACATAGATGCATTGGTTTACATGTTTTAAGATGAGGGGAATGATCCGTCTTTTTTGTTGTTGTATATATATGATAGAGTATTTGAGGGTGGAAGGTGCTTGTAGTGTCGGTGTAATGCAATTAAGTAGACTGCATAACGAGTTGAGGTAGTGAGCTACAACAGAGCATTTGGACAGAAGTGACTGCCCCCTTGTGAAAGCATCATGTACTGACAGGCTTAAAACGAATGAGATCTCCAGAGAGGCTTTATTTTTATTGTTTGCCTCCTCACATAAACGAAAGTTTTACATGAAAAATTAATATATTGTTTTAATTGGTTATATCTCATTAAAAAATATATATATCTTGAAGATATTGTGAGAGTACAAAGAAAGAGCTGCTGGACAGTAGGACAATAGAAATATCTAAAATATTTGTTAAACCTGGAAAGATTGGAAATGTTTAATTAAAATTAGAAAAAAAAATCTGTGTAATATTAATTTACATTACATATTCATACATGTAGAATAATTTAATAATAATTGTATTTTATTGCAGTGCACAATAATGAAAACATCAGTCACTTTAATATTGCATTCAGAAAAAGGTGTAGATCATAAAACCCAAACATATTTTTGTACTAAAATAGTATTATAAGAGTCAAACAAACACAATCTTTTCTATGTCTGTTGATCTATTTAAAGAAAATGAATGAAAAAATACCACACACTACCATAGCTTGCAAAAGCAAGCAGTATTTATTACAAGGTTTCGGTCAAGCGGCCTTCACCAGGCATATGTCCGCTGATCTATAATCCTCTTTAGCCCTTCGTTGCCCTTGATGTGTCCCTTGTGCCTCTTGTTTGAATTGTGGCTAGTGGTCCGAGGGCAGCAAAGGTCAGCAAGCAGTCAACTGAAGCCCCCCGTGGGACACCCCTGCCATTTAGATCCCAGCATACCAGCACTATCGCTGAAGATACTCAACGTATGTATGAGTGGAAACAGAGAACAAATACCTGTAAGTGTGTTTCTTTATTATTTGCATTATAAGTGACTAAGCTTTCATATGAAGCAGAGAGCCTTTTCCCTTTAAGAATGAATAAATACACACAATTCGGCTGAGCAACTAATGCATTTGGGTACATTTTTTAATTATAATACTCTATGCTGTTATTATTGTATTTGGTGGAATATTGCCTTAAAAGGAAACCGTAATAATTAGCTAAGGATAGCGAGCATTATTTTTGTTTCACCAATGAATGACTAAATTATGGAGGATAATAAGAGAGAAATAATGCATAAAAAAAAAAAATGTAGGATGTGCTTAGTTGCACGTGTTATCAATACAAAATGTCTCTGAGAAGACATAACAAAAAAAAAAAAAAAAAACTTGAAGAGAAGTTGCTTCATACATGAGATTTATTTCCACAATCGCAGATATGACAAGTTTCCAGCCCTGCTCATGTACGGCTAGTCTTTGTGTGGTCATAGTGATGATCCTGTACAGAAGTATTTGTCGCTGGGGATTTTTTTGCTCTGGAGGCAGTTGCCGGGCGCAGTGGCTGGAGGCATGTTCCGTCTATTGTATCCCAGAAGGCCATAGGAGCTGACTCCCCATAAGTCACCACTGGTGGTGAAAAACTCATATTGTGTCCTGTGTTTGCTGGCCTGCAAGACAGGGGAAATAAGGGTTAGTCTGTATTAGTTTTTAAAGTTTGCAAGGGGCGTATTTCATGTGCGGCAAAGAGGCAATGTACCACCATTGTGTGAATGGCCTCTGCTCACTTTGCTAAAGCCTGCCCATTTACCAACAGATTGCCTCTGTTACCTAGCAACAATTTAATTAAGATGGTTCATGCAAGGTAGGGCTTTCTCTCTAAATGCAGGATTTTTGTGTCCCAATAACAATATTTCATATCACATTGTCATAGCTCAAATTCTCTTTGAATGACCTAAATCCCTTTTTAATCTTAATAATTACCAGTAATATAAGTAAGCCCAACATGGATTTAAACTCATTTAAACATAGTTATTAAAAGTATAGGCCTAATGCTTAATACACACACACAATTGAAATAATCATGAATTGTTTGCATTGCAGGAAAGGGCGCAGAGATTATCTGGACACTGCTAAAGCTAAGTATTATTTATTAATAAAATACCTATACAATAAAGCAGTAACACTTTACAATACCATCCTATTAATTAATGCTGTGCACTACAATGAGCACTATGTTTATTAGAGTGTTTATTAATCTTTATTAATGTAAGTTAAAAAAAATCAACTGTTCATAGCTAGCTCAGGTCCATTTAATAATATCAACAGAGACTACTTTTGATTTTAATAATGGATTAGTAAAGGATGAAATTAACATTAAGATTAACAAATGTTTTAAAAGTATTTTTCATTGTTAGTTCATGTTAGTTATGGAACGTTATTGTTTAGTGCCACCAGTAAGGCTTAATTTTTAGTCATATTAACAGATAAAAAAAAATTAAACTAACATGTTAAGCTGGAGTATTTTACAGTTTAATACTCTGTGAACTAATGTAAAATATAAATGTACATACAAATTATTCAACAAAGCTTTGCCATGAAGGGGTGTGATTTTAATATGGAAAATAAATTGATTTCATAATTGTAATGTCTTCATATTCAAAATTACTCACAGAGTGTCAGTTTCAACAAATCAAACAAGAATACGTTCTGCCATCGGCATCTTCCTGCCCTAAAAAGGTGATGAATGAGAATTTTAGATCAAGCTCCAGGAATGACAGAAACTCGTTTTAACCAACTGCGTTCAATACCTCATCATCTGCCGGAGGTGTGCGATTCATTATTTGTCTGTCAGTTTGCAGTGTATGAAAACACACAGTAGTTTTAGGTGGTTTATAGCAGATGGTGCAAGAACTGTAGACAATATCTGGTCTCCAGTACCACTAAACAAATATTTTCATTATTCAACAACTGACACCTGACAGTTAAACCTGGCGAAATTATATTCATGAAATAGCTTGACATATAGTTAGTGTAAGCAATCTGTGTGGATTGCAAACCATTTAACCTGCTTCTTATGTGATATGTTTGTCCATTTCTGACTCCATATATTTGATAGATACAATTAACAGCAGTTAAATCAAAGTACTTGACAGGGTCTCGGTTAACATAATGACTTTAGTAGTTCTGCCTCCAAATTTGGACCTTGAAAATAACAAAGACCAGGCAGGGAAACACTGTGAACCGATGTGTGATATGTGATTGTGGGTTGGTGGGAAAGGGCACACGCAGGTGCTGTGATCAGTTCGCACTGCTGTGTGTCTGCTCCTCCAGACACATTGCCAATCTTACAATGGTGACAATAATGGCGGCCCATCCTGCCTCACCACTCCAGACAATAGTAAAGTCCCGGGGCCATATGCTGAGCCTCTTGACGCGGGTTCATTTGCAGGATCGTCTGTGGGAAAGCAGGGATAAAGACTACGCCAGACATCGAGGGTCACGGGGTCTTTCAAAAGAGGCGACGTGGTCAGGCTCCTATCAACAGTGTTGAGTGTAACACATTACAAGTAACGTGAGTTACGTAATCAGATTACTTTTTTCAAGTAAGTAAAGTAACGCATTACTTTTTAATTGACAAGAAAAAGTTATTTTTTTTAAATAAGTAACGCCAGTTCCTTTTTTTCCCATTTATTGATCGAAAGCTCTCCTGTCCCCATGTTGAGAGAAATCGGGAGTAAGATGTTACTTTAGTTCTAGAATAAATGTGAACATGCATTAATTCATCTCACTCACAAAAAAACAAAAAACAGATTCAGTATTTCTCAAAATGAATAAAAACAGTGAAATACAACTCGGAATATGACGCAAACCTGCAATAATTAAATATGTTAAATAATACAAATATCCTTTATGTATTTAATCCCATTTTATTAACCAGTGTCTTTGCTACTGATCTTCGATGAAGCAATTCAACCATACTAATAAGCAAAAGATAAACTAACATTTGTTCTTATTTTTTATTGCTGAAAAGTGTTGAACTTACATCTACTGTACAGATGTGAATTTACTTTTCCTTCAGCCTGAGGCTTTTGGTGTGAAACAGCTTTTACATTTGCCAAAAATACTACTTTTTATATTACAAACAAACAAGCAAGCCCTGCCCAGATTTAAAAAGTAATGCAAAAGTAACGTAACGCATTACTTTATATAAAAAGTAACGAAGTAACGTAATTAGTTACTTTTTAGGGAGTAACGCAATATTGTAATGCATTACTTTTAAAAGTAACTTTTCCCAACACTACCTAACAAAACTGCTGAAAAGGGCCGAGGTAATTTTTAGGTGGACTGGCTTATTTTCAAGCCCTTTATTTCCACGTTTGAGATCTTGGTGAACTGTACAATTATTTAAATAATAAAAAATGCATGTTTTTTCCTGAAAACGGCATCTCCACAGCAACATAGCTGCCGATAATTATCGGCCATTACTCGCTGTGCTATTTTAAGAAAAATAAATAACGTCCCCCATCATCTTTCAAACAAAAATTTGCCATGGCCCAAAACGACTCATTATCCCATGCGGTGATTAGCATGCACGCAATGTAGATTGGATGTACGGCTTTGTACGCACGTATACAATTGCACAAAAGACGGACGGCCTTAGGCTGCTCCTCTGTACCCTTCCCCCACACTTCAGCGTTCCCGCCTCCCTTCTCCTCAATGCTACGCAAATAAGCATCTCGCTCCCGGTACCACGTTAATTAGAGTGTATAACTAGCTGCACCCTCCATTCACACCTTTATACCCTTTTATTAGCATGACACTGGTTAGTGGCCTGCTCTGCTACGATCTCTTTGGGCCCCTGATTAAAAAGAGGACCCCTCAGAACGCAAATCTCCTGTCCCCTTTCATCCCTGGCCTCATATAACATGGCTCTCTGATCCATGCTGGCACCGCTAACTGTCAAGAGTACCTGTTTGCTTCCTTCTCATCACCTCCGTCCAACCCCGTTCCAGCTTGTGCCTCTCCAAGTGAGAGTAATTACTGCTTTCACCTGAAAGCCAAGCCGTACAGATTTAACTCTGACGTATGGGTGTCGCCCAGGACAAAAGCAAACAAAAGAAAGCGGGTCAACGTTGGCGTCGAACAAGCCAGCGTATTTTGTGGGGTCACTTTGTCGCTTGAAAATGTCCTCCTGTCATAATCCACTCTGGTTTGAGAGCATTATCCCTGTCTGGATTGGGTCTCACCCTCTCCCTCTCTCTCTTTCGCTGAAGGATCCAGACTCGATTGTGATCCCCCTATGCAAGCTCAGCTCAACAGGGTCTCCTCCTGTCTTGCTCTGATTTCAAGGTAAAACGTCTCATTAGCTCTGGCCCTTGAAAGACGCCCGCTCCATCTCATATTCAGTTATACATTCCCTTTGAATAGCTTGTGAGAGGCAAGAAGGGAGAGAGAGAGAAAGGAAGGCAGGGGTGAGAGCTGATCCAGCTACCTGAGAGATAGGGAGGGGAAGGCCTGCTGAGACCTCTGTAATTTCATGCAATCATTACTGCCTTGTGCCACAGACACATTCGACTGTCATTTATGCCTTACTTGAGGATAAAAGCTCTCTAGAAAAAGGAAAGTAGAAAGTGTCTCCACGTTTGTATATTCTTAGTATGCCGGGCAAATGAAAAGGGCTCTGCATTTGATGGTTAAATTGTTTAAAATACTGCTAAAAGGGATTATGGAGCACGCTAGATGCATGCTTTTATTATATTATGCTGATTATTTTGTTCATTATGGAGGCATTTAGGACTATAGTTAAGTGAAGACCTTTTATTCTTATCATTAGCAGTAGTAATGTTAGGAATAATGGCAAGAGTAGGCTATTATGTTATGACTTCCGTTTCTATAAATCTTCAAAAGCCTTTCCATTTCTGTAAACCTTTAAAAGCCTATTCAGATTTTTAAAGTTGACGTTGACTTCCATAAAAATAAAAAATAAATTAAATTCAATAAATCTAATTCAATAAAACAAACAAACAAAATAATTAAATAAAAAAATAATAATAAAAAATAAATGATTACATGAGTGTGCAAGAAAAAAAATGTTTTAGAAAATTATTTTACAGAAATCATACATTTACATCTAAGTCGGGTCAGTATAGTCAAATTTAATACAATTATGTCAAAACTAAAAAAAATTATTATTTTTTTACCTTTAAATGCTAGGAATTGTTAAAATGCAATTGCTGCTCTTTTCTAAAATAAATGCATTATTATTATTATTATTATTATTATTGTTTTGTTTAAAAATATATTATTAATATGGTTTTAAAGGTCTCTTAGCCTGCTATAAGTCTTAGCCTACTTTTTTTTTGGTCATGTACACCACAGCCACAGAAATGCATGTCATTCTATTCTGAAAAGAAAGTGCATGGGAATTTGTCATAGTGTTAAAATGCTTCGCCCAAAAAAATTAAAAATCCTCAAAAATGTGTTTACAAT